TATCCCTTGAACTGTACATCCTGTTATTTCTCAAATTTAAAGGAAAATTTGGAGCTAAGCAACCTAATTTAGTATTTTTAAGAAAAAATTAAATTAAAATAAAATAAAAATATATATTATTGAAAGCTTTCAATTCAAGAGAAAATTTTTTGACGTTTTAAGCAATAAATTTATTATTTCCTTTTTATATTTTTGGATGGAGAATTTGAAGAGATTTATGTAATTGTTTATGTAGTGGATCCTTATTTAATAAAATCTTGTGTTTTAACATTTTCAATATAAGTCAAATATATAAATATAAATAAAATAATTATTAGAGTGTCCTTACATTTTATGATACAATTAGATAATTAACTAAATTTTCATAAGTAACAATATTAGTATTCATTGACTAATAATCAACCTGTAGATAGGATCAACTCCTAACTATATTTTTGTTCAGCGGTAGCGACCCCAACCAAGTGCAATGCAATAATTATTTTAGAAAACTTAGAAACGAGGAAAAACTTCGAATTAATATATATTTTGTTTCGTGTTTGAACTTTTACCTGCTTTATCATGCTCTCGATTGATAGCTGCTTATTGAGAAGTCTATCCACCTATAGCTGTTTATTGAGAAGTCTATTGAGACATAGCTGTTTATCGAGAAGTCTATTGGCATATAACTGTTTATTGAAAAGTCTATTGAGATAAGGCTCTTTTTGGGGAAGTCTATTGAGATATAGCTTTTTATTGAGAAGGTTGAATTGATACCGCTGTTTATTGAAAAGTTTGAAGAGAAATAACTGTTTACTGAGAAGTCTATTGAGATATAGCTGTTTATTGAGAAGTCTATTGAGATATAGTTGCTTATTGGGAAGTCTATTCACTTTTAGCTGTTTATTGAGAAGCCTATTGAGATATAGCTGTTGATGGAGAAGTCGATTGAGATATATAACTGCTTATTGAGAAGTCTATTGAGATATTGAGATATAGACCTTTTAAGAAGTCTATTAATTACTGTTTACTGAGGTTTCTATTGAGATATCTTTTTATTGAGAAGTTTGAAGCGATATAGTTGTTTATTGAGAAGTCTATTTATCTATAGCTGCTTATTGAAAAAACGATTTCGGAAAAGATAATGAGTACTTCAAAACAATATTGAAAAAAGGCTACTGCTACATTATATCTAAAAATGTAACACTATGTTATTTATTTATTTGTTGAAAGTTTTACATTTATGTTGAAGCAAAATCACGAGAGACTGGAACTTAACGATTTAGAGTGACGCCATAAGTGTTCATAAAATTATATTTGAACACATACCTCTTAAGACGCATTTCTAATAAATGTTAAATTTTTTTTCAATTTTATTTTTAATAGATTGTATGTATTTATTCTTAGCGAATAAAATGTTACAGATACTTCGTTTATTTAAATATAAATAACTGATTTTGTGATTCAGTATTTTTTGAGCAACGAGTGAAATAACTAAGGAAAAGAACATAGAACTTAAAATTTTTATAACCTAATACTTTTATTTTAACCATTTACATGCCGGACTCTTATTTAACATTAATGAAAACAGTGCCGTTGTAAAAACGAGTGGCATATGGTTTGTTTATAAATTAAATGGAAACTTAATTCAAAAATTTCTCGTTAGGTTTTAAAACACAATGAATGCTTGATTTTTGATAATTTATATTATTAATATTATTATGATAATTATGATTTTGATATATATATATTATATTGATTATATAATTATGATTGATTATATTATTATGATTGATTATATTATTATATTCATTATATTATTATATTGATTATATTATTATATTGAATATATTATTATGATTGATTGTATATATTATTATATTGATTATATTATTATGATTTTGATAATTTAATATTATTAAAATATCTTTGTGGATAAGAATGTTCAGCTTCTCCAGTTGTGAAAGCTAAGAAGGAAAGATTTAAGTTACCGAGTTTTAAATTTTGAAAAAGAGGCATTGTTCTGAAAATGGACCATTGGTGTTTAAATGGTTAAACCGGTTGGCTTTTAAACGGTTATAGTTAAAAAAAGGTTTAAAATGAGCTTAATTAATTTTATTCACAAATAACATACACTATAATTGTAATGCAAGAACTCATAACTTAGATTTAAACCTTTTCTGATTTGCTTTTCTTTAAAATTTTGAAAAAGAGGCATGGAACATAGGCGTTTAAACCGGTTATCTTTAAAGAATTCTTAAAATGAACTGAATTAATTTTAACAACAAATAACAGACACTATAATTGCAATGTAAGAACTCATAGCTTGCTTTTATACCTTTTCTGATTTGCTTTTCTTTAAAATTTTGAAAAAGAGGCATGTTCTAAAATTGGAATATAGGCGTTTAAACGGTTTAAAAGGTAGGTGTTTAAACGGATATCTTTAAAGAAAGCTTAAAATGAACTGATTAATTTAAACCACAAATAACAGACACTATAATTGTAATGTAAGAGCTCATAACTTACTTTTAATACTTTTCTGGAAAGCTTTTCTTTAAAATTTAAATGACTGAAGCTAAAGTATATCAGAGACAAATTTTTTGCTTTCAACTTTGTTTATTTGTGGCCTGTCTCGCAATAAAGATTATTAAAAATATGTTAAGAGCTGAAGATTTTTGAAACATTAATCATAAAACTTACAAACTACGTATGGACAATGCATTTTGTGAAGAAATAAATGTACTATTTTTGTGTGTTTTAATGGAAGAGCTACTGTTTATGAAGATATTATTTCAACTATCGATAAAGAAAAACAAACTATAACATACGTGGTTGCTAGAAATCCATAAAATTACATTTTAATTATACGTTTAAAATTTGTTTTGAAGGAATTTTGTTGGTGGTATAATTAGTAGATCTATTTTTGTTTCAGTCCGGTAACCATATGAAATTAGAAAATTGAAAATGATTGAAAATCAAAATCAACGAAACAGCATTTGCAAGACATCTGTAATTATGAAAAAAGTACATAAGAATTACTTCCTCTTTCCCAAATTAGTTGCTACATTTGAATATTTTCTTATTGATTACTGATACTGATGTTTTTACGATTATGTTTGAACAATTTTCAGAGACTTCAGAGTAATTTGCTATCAATAAACAACATTTACTTACCAAGCATTAAATCCTTCCCGTTTACAATCAGTACCAAGTTAGTTAAAAAAATTAGACCTTCTTAGCAATGATTGATAAATGCTGAATAAATTTTGAACACAAATCGTACTTATATCTTGACATAAATAATATTTTATCTACACATTGCAACAACTCGGCATTATGCAAGATCTTACATTGCTTAAAATGGTGATTTGTAAGTGTGGCTTTACAAAAGTATGTTTCTTATCATGTTCAAAAGCTGTCATACTGTTATTTGTTATTAAAATCTCCCATCTAAAGTTATAATGAGGAATAACAAAAGAGAAATAAGTTTTCCAAACCCAAAATCAACTGCTTTATTTCGTTACCGAAATTTTTCATGCTAAAGTATTTTTTTCCAAAAATTTATTAATAATGAAGTACTTTTTACGCTATTATTACGAATTTATTAAGTACTTTTTGCTATTATTACGAATTTGTAGTTGGATCCTTAAAATAAAGATATTAAAGATTGTAATCGTTAAACTAGTTTATGAACAATATAAAAGTATAAGTTTGAATCTGGAGCATATTTAATTTTTTCGACTGTAAGCAAAAATCAAAAATGAATAAATAAATAAATAGAATATAAAAATGAATAAATAAATGGGAATGTTTCTATAGCACCAAATTATTCCTTGCTTAACTAAAGATTAATTCATTCAATAATTTCAAAATAGTAGAAATTTCAGTTTAAGGAAAACTTTAAAAACCATTTTTTTTGTAAGGAAAAAAATTAAATAGTTGAATAGGAATTTTTTTACATTGTCAAATCATTTCCGGCGCAAACCATTTTTTTTCTCAATAAATTCGTCCTAAAGATTATTTCGTTCATTATTGCCATAATTGCAGAAAGTTTAGTAGAGAAGTAAACTTAACTTTAATTTTATTATGCAGATATAGTTTCGAATATATTGAAGATAGATCTCGAAAATATTTTGCACCCAAACAATTTTTGCGAGCGTTAAATTTGACATTCGTTAATAAATCGAACTGCAAGACTCATTGTTGAGTATGGAGTATGTTGCTTGATATTTTTAATTAGGCAAATTCAGAATAAAAATTAGCAACTACAAGTTAACTTCAATTTGTATAATTTCTTATGACACTAATTTCTTTTTTTAGCCATTACTTTTCATTAGATATACTAAAGATCAATAAACTTTATTTCTTTGGCACAACATTACATACTGTAAGTTCTACAGCACTGCCAAGTTAACTTGACGCAAAGTATATACTGTCTAGATTTGTGAACAAAATTACTCAACTTAAATTATAGTTCGAGAAAAAGTGGTAAAACATATTTTCATACGTAATTTACGAAACATGTTTCAAATTAACCCTTTGATGGCAGACTTTTTATTAAATTTATTTTTAATGCTTTTTAAATTTTTTGTTTTGATTTAGGTCGAAATGAGCGAAAAATATTATATTTAGCATTTTAATAATTTATGGGTACAAAAAACAGCATGAGACATTGGTGTATTTTTCTTCATTTAAAATACAATCTTCCAAACACGACTCACTTTAAAACAATAAATGTTTTCAAATTTGCACTTATTTTCAATTATTTAAGACAAAGAGAGACAGATATTGATCATTGAACTTTCTTCAATTTACAAAACGATTATTGATAAATTTTTGAATATAAATGAAGAAAATTTAAGCTACTTTTTTTGGATTTTATGATCTACTTTTTTTTGGATTATATAAATTTATTTAGATTTTGGATTTATTTTATACAAATACAATACTGATAATCTAACGGCTTTTTTAATAACTATGAGACAATTTTTATAATTAAGATATGAAACGTCATAGAAAATAATAAAAGGGACACCGGTGTCTCATCTGCGCCAAAGAGTTAACTTTATGCCGATCAAAACGTATAATAAAATGACTAGAATATGAATCACATGATGAACATCAATTGAATTACCGAACTATCTTAATAATAAGATATTATAATCATGGTGAATCACAAGGGATAAATCCTGGAAGAAAATTCATCCTTAAAAAATTTCCTGCATTCCGTTATTTCGGCAATCCTTTGTCTTGAATCAATTACTAATCCTCAACGTTTACTTCAAATAAAAAGATTCCTCTGGACCATCTATGAGCTCGAGTGTTTCGTGATGTTTCGGGTGTTGATGATTTCGTGGGTGCTCGTGATGCTTCGAGTGTTCGGGGTTCTTCGTGTGATGTTCGTGATGTTTCGGATGGTGGTGAACTGAGATTCGGCCTTTCCAATCGCAGAAGGTGTCAGACGAGTTGCATACCCCACATGAGCAAGATTCAGCATCGTAGTATTCGTAAAATCGTAATTCTTCGTCAGCACCGGGATCACAGTTGCGTAATTCTACCCTCCTTAGCTTCCTTCTTTCATGCATGCACACGGGATGCACGGATATCTTGTAAGGAAATCTCCAGTCTGGTATCTGCAATGTTATACTAGTATCAGTTATTGTTTATGCCATACAAGTATCAGTATGAAATGTCATAATAGTATCAGTTATTGTTTATGTCATACTAGTATCAATATGCAATGTCATACTAGTATCAGCATGTAATGTCATGCTAGTATCAGTATGTAAAGTCATACTAGTATCAGTATGTGATGTCATACTAGTATCAGTATGTAATGTCATGTTAGTATCAGTATGTAATGTCATGCTAGTATCAGTTATTGTTTATGTCATACTAGTATCAACATGTAATGTCATACTAGTATCAGTATGTAAAGTCATACTAGTATCAGTATGTGATGTCATACTAATATCAGTATGTAATGTCATACTAGTATCAGTTATTGTTTATGTCATACTAGTATCAGTATGTAATGTCATACTAGTATCAGTATGTAATGTCATACTAGTGTAATACTAGCATCAGTATGTAATGTCATACTAGTATCAGTATGTAATGTCACACTAGTATCAGTATGTAATGTCATACTAGTATCAGTATGTAGTGTCATACTAGTATCAGTATGTAATATCATACTAGTATCAAACTAGTATTAGTATGTACTGTCATACTAGTATCAGTAATTTTAGTCATATAAAGTTTAAAATGTACACTAGAAGATATTTTTTTTTGTTGCATGAGAGTTTTGGATGGATCTTTGATATTTCTGCCCCGCTGAATTCAAATTTGCAATCGGTTTTTCTCTACAAGATACATTTTTCATATGCAATTCAGTAATGTTTTCCTAACCAGGATTTTATAAAATTCACTCGAGTAAATTTTAAAATGTATATAATGTGTCCCCACTTTTCCGCAACGTAGACAGTGGTAGGAAGAATGCAATGATATATTTCAGTTTATGATGAGATACGTTAAGGTCATATGTTTCGTGTCTTAAGTATAATTGTATAAGCTTAAAAGGAGCAGACAAGTGCATATGCACGTACCTCACTTCTCTGGTAAGTAGGATGTGGTGGTAAAAAGATTCATTTTATGAGCGATACCTTAGGGTCAATTTTGTATCTTAAGTATAATATTCAAAGGAGTAGACAAGTGTATGTAAATAGAACTTTATGTTCTTCATGAACTTGTGTCAGACAAAAAACAAATTAAACTAAAAGTGTCATTTTTAAAAATATCTATTGATTTTCGAAAAAAAAAACTTATTTCAGATCCTAATCTCCACACTCAAAGATCATTGAAATATCTCATGCAACAGAAAAGTAAGATCAAGTACTTCTATAAATGCAACAAAACATTTGCTCCTCAGTGTTATCAGTAAAATGCAAAACAATTATTGCATCTTCATCTAATAATTGCAAAACAATTATTGCAATTATTGCATTTTCATCTTAAACTATCTGAAACTTTTCTGGTGGATTTTTTATTTAGCAAGTTTGGTAAAACTTTTTAACATTTATATCTTTCTTTCAAATATTTTTTAAAAATAAGAAGTAAAAAAAATGTATTTCACAGTGTTATCAGTACATAACATAAGTTATTATACTGATGTAAAATAAATAGGAATTAAATACCAGCACATTTATGAAGCAAACATTAACTATGCATATTTTAGCAACACACTGAAGGTGAATGAAAACATGATGACAAACTTTAATACAATATATATGTATAAAATGAGAGGGTTTTAATACGTTGTAATTACAAAGTATAGGTAGCACACATATAATCCTCCATTCTTAGAATGAGCTTTATTTAAATTCATCTGAAAATAATATTTTTTTTAATATAGTAAGTAAGTGAGGTAATTGATTTTGCGAATCCTCAAAAAATGTAATAAAATAATATTGCTGATATAAAGAATACTGTTTAAAGAAAATATTTCAATATTTAAAATAAAACGAAAACATAAAAAAAAATATTGTAATTATCTTTGGTAACCCTAACGAACTGGATAAAACGAGCAAGTTAAGATATTTGAACCAGTTATTCAAGTTGTCTTCTGCATTGGTTCTAGTAACATATATGTAATCTAATCTTTTATAAAGATTAGGACATAAGAGTAGATTTTAGAAAACTAAGAACAACCGATGAAATTTTAGAAAACTTAGGACATAGGAGGGAATTTTAGAAAACTAAGAGCATACAATGAAATTTCGGAACACTTAGTACGTAAAAGGAAATTTTATAAAACTAAGAACAAACTATGAAATTTTAGAAAACTAAGGACATACGATGAAATTTTATGAAACTTAGAACAAACAATGAAATTTCAGAAAACTAAGGACATATGATGACATTTTAGAACACTTACACACATGATGAAATATGAAAAAAGTTTCGTTTTTTGTTTTTTCCCAGAAAAGAAAATGAACATGTAAGGAGTAGAGATTTGCAAGAAGTGAAGAGTTACAACAACTTCGCACAAGAGTTAACAATACATAACAACAACAAGCATAAAATTAGCAGAAGTATCAGAACTCGTCAGAGTTCTTTTGTAAAGAATAATATTTTAATCATGATTTAAAAAAAAAAAGTGAAAATAATATACGAGAGTAATATGAAACTCTAGCAGAAGATAAGCATTTTCAACGATTGCATGCTGCAGGCATTTATTTACAATACGGAAACTTGGATTTTCGATGGCAAATCTATAGAAAAAGTCAGAATAACTGAAAGAAATATGTATAGGTGTTTGCTTGTAAAGGCAAGAAAGGTTCGAGAAAGACTGACACAGATAAGACTGCATTAAAAAGTTTCAGAGAATTTAGAATTTCTATTTAAGGAATTAGGCCCTTAAAATTGCAGTGAGCTGACCATACAGCTGGAAAAACTAACTATCACTGGATTTTATACTCGGGTTATAAAACGATCATGGGACCACAAATAAGATGATCAAATATAATTAAAAAAAATAATAAATACAACAGCAGATGTACAGCAAATCGAAATCTTTGGAAAGGTTTGGAGAAGATCTTCATATAGCTGAAGATAATTAGAGATTAGAGATAGTAGCTAAAAGCTATTGTAGAGACATAACTTCATGCCACATCATATTTTTCTTCAAGGGACTATTATTCTCATGAAACCAAACGATCAAGAAAGTGACCCCTCACAAGGTGGTCAAATAAAATTAACCCTATGCGGAATAGCCAATTTTAGTCCGTTTAGTCAACACATTAGCAATTGCGACCACAGTCAGCGCATACTTCATTTCATGAAGGCATACTGTTTTCTGTCTGTTGCTTAAAAAATTGTTCTGCAAAGGATAAAAAAGGCAGTTAGTGAATGGAAAGCAGATCAAATTTTTTGAAATGTTTGGAGAGGACTTTCAATTGATAGTAGGACTACCAACTACTAAGCTTTTGCTTAAAATATTTTAGAGAGAGGTAGACAATTAAAAATTAAAGCTTTCAGAATTTTTGTAGTTTTAACCAAAATTTTAAAAGCCTTTTCGCGAGAGTGCTGAATCAAAGCGTATGCTTTTTAAGTATCTACTACTATTTTTCAAAGATTGCGGCAATTGGTAGCTATGAAAGAGGCGTCTCATGTAAAGCTGTGAGTCTTTTAGATGTAGTGGTGTAACTATAAACTATAACTTTAAATCAAATTTAAAAAAAATTAAGAATAATAAATTGAAACATAAACTTAGCTACCACTAGAAGAAATTTTCCCAAACAGACTAAAAAAGTTGGCAGCCCTGCAATAGTGCACTGATAATTGTTGAAGATGATCACAATGCAGATGACAACTTCATATGTTATCATACCTTTCAGTACTTTCCCATTAGCCGGGATCAAATGTCGCCAATTGTGATCCAAACGCGAACCAAGTCACCTAACGAAACGAATGACAAAAACAGTCAACGGAATAAAAATCGAAAACGTTAAACTATAAACAAATATTTATTAATAGTAAGCAAAACAAGTTTAACTATAAACAAACATAATTAATTATAAAGAAAACAGTTTTACCCAAAAAGAATGCTTATAATAATTGGTTGTAAGAAATTTGGCAGAATTCTACTTTATTTGGCGATTTTTCGCTTGCTACCGGCTAACGGAAAAGCATCTACTTTTCTTTAGTACTGAACATTGGAACAAACAGCGAAAAATTTTTGAGCTAACTTTAAAAAAAATTCTTACTTTTATACTACTTTAAACATAGTCAGTTCTAGGTAATAATATACATTAGTTTTGCATATTACTTTTACATTACTCTACCTCGAACGAATCACAGCGCCCCCAACAGGAGATGGCTCGAATAATATCCCAACATTGTCGTCCATCTCTATCTGTTCTAGTCGCTTTTAGAGTATATTCTCTCCTTAAACACGATAGCACTCCTTTTAAATTCCCGGAAACATCACTGTTCAGTTCTTCAGCTTTTACAAGAATTAAAATAGACAAGAAGCACATCAACACTTCTTGATACCGATTCGGCATCTGAAAACAAAAATAGTTATATTAGTAAAGAATGGTTTCGAAGAGTATTAGTAAAGAATGGTTCGTAAAGAATGGCATATTATTAAAGAATGGTTTATAAAGAATGGTATATTAGTAAAGAATAGTTTGTACTCAACCTATTAAGCTGATGTTTATGCTATAGAAAATGTTTTGGACATTTTTTTGTTGTTCCAATTAATTAACCGTTTAAATAACAACGTTTAAGTTTTGGAACATGTTACTTTTACTAAATCAAAAAGACAAGCATTTCAATTATATCTATGTAAACATTAATTTTTTATAAACCAGGCATTTATATCTTGTTTTAAAAGCAATCTAAAAACATGTTTTAAAAGCAAGGGAAGCTAAAAATATTGATGTAAATGTCAAGAATTAAGATGATTATAATAATAAGGAGTTTACAAAGGAAAATAAAATCACAAAACTAAAAATCAATGAGAGCTAAAAGCTCTAAGTGTAAATGTCTGAAAGTAAAAGTCTGAATAAAAGTCGATGAAGTTTAAAATCACAAGTAGATAAGAGTTCAAAATGTAGAAGAGGCTAAAAGGTGATCAGTATAAAATAAAGATGACATGTTCTACTGTTGGTTCAGGACTGAGGTCAGTTGACCTGGGTAATAAAATGTCCTCGAGGGTTTGTTTTATAATTTGAATCACAATTTTCCATCATGATCCGATTTTCCACAATTTTCCATTTTTTAATCACAATATATTTAGGATTAAAATCAATCTAAATTGAATTTATAAATTCTAGAATGAAAAATCAAAATTTTTTTTCTACTTCAATTATTGAAATAAAATCTTCCCAGATATATCTGTAATATTTATCAGCTATCCTAATCTCTTCTACTCTGAGAATTACATAATTTAATAACTATTTAAAAAATAGCATATGCAGTGTGTTAAAATATGCGATGTATTCAAATGTGCAATGCGTTAAAATTTACAATGTATTAAAATATGCAATGTATTAAAATATGCAATGTATTAAACTATGAAATGTATTAAAATATGCAATACATATGTGCAATTATGCAATGTATTATTATATCAATTTAGTAAAAATATGCTTATTTATAATACATTAGTTTGGAAGTGGATAAGTTCTCATCACGCTTAATTGCTGAAGAAAGTGTTCGGTAATTATTCATTTTAAATTAATTTTAATTTTTCCTCCAAACAACAAAAACGTGTCATATTTCCACATTTTTAAAAAGGATCTTTAGAAATTAATAATTAAAATTTGTTAGTAAAAATTGTTAAAAAGTATAAATTTATTATTTCTTGCCAAACACAAAATTTTCTTCTAGCGAACAATATGCAGGAACATTTAAATTTTATTTTAAAAAAAAGGCGAGGAACTTAATAACAATTTTTCCTGGGAAATGCTTAAGATTAATTAGTTTGTATTCTTTATTTTATTATGCTTATACTAGGGAAATGTTTTGTTAAAAGCTAGCTTTGTGTCACAGCTGTGGTTTACAAAATAGTAATTTATTTGCAGTTTGAAGATAGATTAATAATATTTACTTTATTGCCGATATATTTATTCATAAGTGTTATAAGTCTTTTTCTTATTCCCATGTTCAGAATTAAAGACAGAATGTTGTCCAAATTTAATAAATAACCATTTGACTATTAAACTTGCAACTAGTTACCATGTAAAAAATTTATCAGATTTAACAAAAGTATTAACAATTTTTTTTTGCAGTTAACCATTAAAAATATTTTAATTTCAGAATGTATACCAAATTAAACAATATAGCAAAATAAAATAACATTTAGACTCCTAAACTTATAATTTGTTACCTTGTAACAGATTTAGCAAATTGAAAAAAAAGTATTAAAAATATTTTTTATGCAGTTCACAATTAGAAAAATTTCCAACTCCTTGAACTCGTAAGTATAATATTTATTTGCCGCATCATTAATCAGATTTCATTGACTGTTTAAATCTTTATTTATTGCAAGTATTAATAACCAATAGAAAGTCATTATAACGAATGAGTTTATTTCTCAATTTCCTTATTTCAAATTCTCTGTTGTTTCTCATTTCCATGTTTCTCTTTTAAAGAACAGAATGTAAACCAAATTTAAAAATTACAACTCAATAAAATTACCTTTTGATTATTTAAAAGATATATAATTCCTTACCATGTGACAGATTTAACAAATTGAAGAACAAAGTATTAAAAGTAATTTTTATGCAGTTCACAATAAAAAGAATTTACTAATCTTTGAACCGCTAAGTATTATATTTATTTGATGAATCTTTAATGATTTTTAATACGCAGTTTGAATACTATTTTATTGGCAGTTTGAATAACTAATAGAAAGTCATTGCAACGAATGAGTTTATTTCTCATTTTCGTATCTTAAACCTTTATTGTTTCTAATTTCCATGTTTCTGTTTTTAAGATCAGATTGTTTATCAAATTTAATAAATGTAACCCAATCAAATAACCTTTTAACTATAAAATGAACTTGCTGCTACATAATATGTAAGTTAGCTAACGAAAGTATTAAAAAATTTTTCATACCATATCATTAAGAAATTAATATTACATATAATTATTGCAGTTTCAGAACATAGTTTTAAAAAATTTTCACCCAAGGATAATAATACAAATATGTAATATGGCACTTTGTTGTGTTTTATTTGCATTTATTTACTTATTTATTAGCAGTTTTCTTTTTGTAGGAACAAAAACAAAAGTATGAAACTAAATCAGTAAATTATTAGCACAAAAAGAGACTATTATGCTCTAATGTATTTATTTTATAACCGTTGTTGAACAGCTGACCCAATTTGGGGTTTGCGACTACCAATATTCAACTCCGCAGCCTTGTAATTTTGAACCCAATTTATTAGTTACACACTTACTAGTTCATAGTTACTAAGTTCATAGTTACTAAGTTCATAGTTACTAAGTTCATAGTTACTAAGTTCATTGTTACTAAGTTCATAGTTAAATAGTTACTAAGTTCATAGTTACATAGTTACTAAGAAGACAAGAACTGCCTTATCAAGTATAGGTAGAAATTTGCCTTCGTGGAGGACTTTTTTTGATGGAAACAACCAGCATGTGCGTTATACGGAGAAGAAAACCACGGAAATCTATCTCTCACGGTTAGCCTGGCGGAAAAGGGATTTTAACCCATGATCCGTCTACAGGGTTACCCCGGTCTTTGAAAAATTTTAGTAGGGGTAGTAAATTAAGGTTAATGTTAGAAGTTATATATTATTTTAATGTACCACTTTATCGTTACGTGGTGGAAGTTTCATGCGTATATTCTTTCTTTGGAAAACAATTTCTAGTGGTGGTTACACAGATATTAATTTATCGACATCTGTTTTATTTTCGTTGCCACATTTTAAAATTTAGAAAGCCAGCGGGAGCCCTGTTCTACCACTGAGGATATTTTACGTTTGTCCTGTGGTTGGTGTGACACGGGTGTGGAGTTCGTATAGACTATGCCATCGCTGGGATTCGAACACTCTTCACCTCATTAGAAGGCGAACGCTTTATCCCCTTAGCCGCCATGGCTCTTTAAACATTCATTGTAATTATTTCAGTATTATAAAGTTAATTATTGTATTATAATGTATTGTATTGTATTATAAAGTTAAAGTCAATCTATAAAGTTAGCAATGTATGTTAACTTTATAATGCATTAGTCATTGTATTATAAAGTTAAAGTCAAACTTATTTACAATTACTCAAAATCAGAAAGCTTCATAGAATAAAATGAGCTTCGTTTCGCATATAAAAATTATATCTGAAAATAATAATAAAAAGTAAATATTGAAATAAAATCTTCCGGGAAAACTTTAAGTTTATTATTGAAGCTGATTACAACGAATTTTTTTTCATTTTAAATATAAATAATTTACATTGTATGCTATGATGGTAGTTAATTTTATAATTTCAATAAATAAAAAAAAAGTTTTTACAACTTCTTACATTTTTAGTTACGTATGACATACCTGATTAAGCAATTCCTGCTTACAATAGTATAATCAAATGCTATATTGCTACCACCACAAAGAATATTACACAGAAATTGTAAAAAAACGGCAGCTATGTGATAATACTCAAAATTCCAGTTATTTCAGCGAAAAATTGTGAGCCCTTTGAAAATCCCCATTTCCATTTTTTTCAAGACAAATTAGCCTATAAGGTAGCTAAAACTATCCAGTGTTTTAGCAGATAGAAGCAATTACATTTCTACTATAAAGATGACTTTAAAATTTTACCTTTTATTTTATTCAGGACTTCCATGTGAATATCGTACGTGAAAAAAATGCGATACACGTTTTTCTCTATACTTAAAGGCTGTATTGTTATTGACATTGCTTTGTGTATGGTACTCAAAACGAAAATATTGTTTAAACGAAAAAAAAACTGAACTTCAAAACGAAAACGTTGTTTAATAGCTCTTCAATCGGAAATACAAGTCTCACGGGATTAATTTTCTCTGGTCTATAGGTCAATATTACGTGAGTAGTTTTGAGTTGTTTTTTTACTACCAAATGATATCTATTTTTATTTCAAAACGAAGTCTCTTTTCTCAAACAAAAGTCAATTCGGGATATAACTTAAAAGCAAAAATCATAATGTAAATAGTATTTGGGTATAAAGAAAATAATTAGCCGTAAAACAAATTTTGTATATATGTAATATACCAATACGTCAAGACCATTAGGAGTCAAGACTCTTACCCGCACGTCAAGACTTTTTCTTGTATAAGCTTATTTTGCGTATAGCTTAGGTATAATTTAAAATGAAGACAAACGCTCAAGTTTAATAAAAAAAAATTATAATAATAATGTTAATAATAATTAGCAAGCTTTTAAGGAAAATTTATAAAAACGTTCCATTCTAGCAGCCAGTAGTTTATAGTTTTTATAGTTCTCCTCTATATTTTTTTTTTTGCTTTACGTAAGAAAATAAAATAGTAATTTAAAATTTTTG